ACCTAGAAATATATTTTTTATGTTTTATTAGTCATAATTATAAGGCATAGTAAAGGGGGCATGTAGATATCCATTCTCTTTGGGAATGAATTTGAAATCTTTCTGTTGCTAAGGAGCTTCTGTGATGTTTGGTAGACAGGAAAAGTGCTAGGAATGAAGTGCCTTCATCCGCACAGTTGCCTTTAATAGGCTATATTATTGACTCAACACATTTTTTCACCTATGCAGCTTGAAATACCAAAAGCATTGATATCCGCAGAGCAACTACGGGAACTAAAGTCACATTTACGCCCATCCTTCATTCCTATTGACCAAGAAAATAGATTGATAAAGATTTGTGATGAGGATACAGGAATCATAATGAGGCGTCTTTCAAATGGAATTCCTGTGAATTACAGAGTAAGTATTTTTTCCATTCAAAGATAAATATTGAGTGTTTTTGAAAACTTGCTGTTGTTAATCACTTAATCTTTATTCAGAGTCTACCTGATTTCTGTAAGTTATACGGATATTTCAATCCCACCTTGCCTGAAAATCATTTTATGATCTTTTTATTAGTTTCTTTTTTTTTTCCGTCTTTTTTAGGATAGATTTCTCTATGCGTTTCAACTGAATAATATTACTTAAAGTAGAAAATTTGTGATTCAATTTCCTATACTAAGTCACTTCCAAAAGAAATTTTGATTTCTATGGAACTGTTCCACCCGAACTAATAAAATTCTTTCATGCTTGCGTTTTAAAAAATTAGGCTTAAATGTAAATATTATGCCATTGTTATTGTGTCGATTGTAATTAAAGATGCCCGGGTTGTTACTGTGTGGAAATAATAAACTTGCGCAATTGGTTTTGCTGTATTTGACTGTGTCGCCTTCTTTGGTTTGCATTGTAATTTGTGGATGTTCTTTATGTATCATATTCATAAGCCTCATACATTATTTCTGGGAAAACAAATTGTTGATTTTAAGCTGTATCTTAGTCATTGTCAATGGTGTATTGATTATTCGGTCTTATTAAGGTGCGAGAACTATGTCGGACCATGCTTCTATTTAATTCTTGTTATTATGGTTATAGATATCTAAAAGTGAAGCCAATAGTGGTGTTATGCGCCTCATAGTTGGTGGTGGGCGAGCAGCAGAAACTGCTGAAGCCATGGGGGCTGTTATTGTGGGTGTTAGAACCCTGAGTGAAGGAGGTCGTGTGGGGAACTTTACGCGCGAGCAGGTGAAGAATTGGAATATTTTTTTTTGTTATTGCTCCTTTGTTAAAAAGTTCCTTCCCTATATTGTTCACATTCTATCCTTTGTGTTTCTTAAATACGTTCACCAAATATTCAAATATATTGTGGTTGTGAGGATGTGTTAATTTTGTTA